TGTTGAAAATGGGTAATGGTGCAACTGCTAGAATGCACTATGTTTTTTGTAGTGATTTTACCATTAATTTTCTCCAAAACTGTACAGAAAAATGACTTGAAAATTAATACAGCAATAGCCAGAGTGACTGTGAACAGGAATCAATTAAAAGATTGAGCAAACCTATGAAGTAAACACTTTTCTGAGTGTTTGAATATGGGAAATGGTGCAAATGCTAGAATGCACTTAGATGCTTGGTGTGAGTTTGCCATTAATGTTCTCCAAAACTGTACAGTAAAATGACTTGAAAATTAATATAGTAATAGCCAGGGTGACTGTGAACAGGCTTCAGTTGAAAAAACGAACAAACCTATAAAGGAAAGATTATTTTGAGTGTTTGAAAATGGGTAATGGTGCAACTGCTAGAATGCACTTTGTTTTTTGTAGTTATTTTACCATTAATCTTCTCAAAAACTGTACAGTAAAATGACTTATATATATATATATATATATAATTATATGATATATATATATATATATGATATGTGTGTGTGTGTGTGTGTATATATGTATATATATGTGTATATATACAGAGAGAGAGAGAGAGTGAGAGTTAAAAAAAAATACATATATTAATATGAAATTATTAATATGAAAAATGTAATATAAATAAATAATAATGTGTACAAATTTTATATAATAATAAAAATTATTTCTAACATTAATAAACATTAATAAATTATGTACATGAATAAATGCACAATACAAATGTTAATATACAAAAAATAATGTATTCACAAACATTAAAAGCAATGTTCAAGTCATAAAAACTAGACATGTTAAAAAATAAAAAAAAACTTGAAATTGTATTATTTATGCCCTGCTGGAAAATAGCAATAAATTAATATTCTAATCTCGCTTTATTGTCTTTTTAGGGTTAAATGACATGTTATGCAGTAATATTTTTAAATGCCGTTATGACAGCGTCTTTGCGTTAATTTTGACCGCTCCCAGCACCCATACCATAAGTGCGCGATTAGATGCGCAAAAAAA